CACTCACTCACACACACACACACACTCACTCACTCACTCACTCACTCACTCACTCACACACACCCACACACACACACTAATGGCAGGTGAGATCAGCCCCATCCCTGTGGCACACGGCCCAACATTCCTCTCCTCCGCAGGTATTCAGGAACGGAAAATCAAACCAACACACAGCAGTCGCCCCGGATTCAAGGGAGCGGGCATCTGTTTCTACAGAGACATCTCTCTAGGACTGACCCTTGACCCCATGATATGGCCATCCCAGCAAAAGACAGAGAGAATTTGATACAAGGGCTCAGAGAGACACTGCCACCGTGTGGTAAACGATGGAATAGCACTCACTGCTCACACTGAATTAGAATTTTCCTGTAGATTAGGGGCGTAATTTTTGATAAATGTGTTATGACTCCCTGCATTTGTTCAAGAGCAGGTTTCACCATAAATTACGGATTGTTATTTACCTGTCTAGCGTGTTTAGCACCAAATTAGCAATGGTAAATGGAGGAAAAACATGGTAAATGTTGTTACCCCAGTTTCAATTTCACATGGTCTATGTATGCATGTGTGGTTAAAACCAGATACCTTTCATACATGTACTGTAAAAGCCAAAGGGTTCACTAAAAGACTATTTCCTAAATTACAATTAAACATCACTCAATTATTTAATTTTACTGAAATTTAAAGGTTTATTTCACCTCCAGAATGAAAATGTCCTGATAATTTACTCACCCCCAGGTCATGTCAGCGGAAGTTAGAGAAAACTGCTTCTAATGTTTTAAATATATATATTTTTCTTACAACAATGCATCGTTTCGCCCTAGGAGGACTTTATTCACCCCCCGGAGCCATGCGAGGTACTGTTAATTATGGATGGATTCACTTTATTGGACGTCTTTTGGACTGTTGAACGAAAACACCCGCACACTGCCATTATAAAGCAAGAGAAGAAAATTATAAAGAAGAAAGTATATACACCTAGGATGCCTTAAGGCTGAATAAATCATTGGCTAATTTTCATTTTTGGGTGAACTAATCCTTTAATATAATTAGTTATTGAGTTCACATAACTTTTTCTATTAAGTGGAATGAACTTTTAGTTTAAATGAATATTAAAGTAAAATGAACTAATTTCATTTTCAGCTCAATTTCAAATTTAAATTTTAACTACAAATAAATATATCTGAAATTATATATTAAACATCCCACAGTAACATTCTAGAAACTAGCCAAACCATCAAAGCAACCATCTATAAATGTCCTAACAACCTTCTTAGCAACACCCTAGTAACCACCCAGAAAACCCAAGCAACTGCCTAGCAGCACCGTAGCAACCACAAGAATACCCTAGCAACCATTTAAGAATGTATTAGAAAACATCCAGAACATTCTAGAAACCACTTAGTAACAACCTAGCAACAACCCAGTAACTACAAACTACCTCAGCAAAAATCTGGTTTCTTAAAGTAGCATGAATAACTTGAAGAGTGCTGCTGTTTAAACAGAATAAGGATTTCTAAACGCAAGGTTATTGCAAGTGCAAATGTTTCAACACTAAAACACATTAACCCATATAATCTGCACTCACCTGTTGCTCAGAGGGTCGTTGGGCTTCAGACTGGAGTCGTTGTTGAGGGAAGCCTGGCGCGGGAGGCCTGGAGCTCGGCTGCGGTCCCCTGGAGGCCCCTGGTACAGCAGTGGGACTTCCTGAAGTTTGGCCTTCTTTTCCTGCGGAGCCTCTTCGTGGCGTCGGCGAGGGTCACTCGCACCCGAGAGCAGGGCGCCCCCTGGGCCGCTGTAGAACCAGGCCCCTGACTTGGTGAGGATTTCTTGTTGTTTTCGGCACAGGTTGCATACCCACATCACCTGACGGTGAGAGAACAAGAAGTTAGAATCACAGGAGAACACAAGACCCCAAATGAGATGAATGAAAACTCTCTGTTGTGGGAGAAGCGATTTGCAGTCTTAAATGAGTCATTTGTGTGTCAACTGTGAAGCCAAAGACAGAGTGAATAATGGGATATTTGTCCAGAACCTCATGCGCAGGTCCCACAACAAACAGGTTCGGAAACGGTGATGCTGGTGCAGCTGACAAACAAAACTGTCAAAATTCATGTGAGAGGAAATGAACAATGCAAAGTTTAGGCTCAACCAATGGCATGAGTTTGGGGGCGGAGCCACCTGGTTTGTCTGACTTTTAGAGCACTGTAGGGATGACGTATGTTTGTAGGCCAAAGCCTGTAAACGAATTAGCATTTAAACACTTCTGGTTTCATTGTCCTGAAGTCAACGGGTTTTTGAATTTGAATTAAGTGCTTGAAATAAGGTCTGTGGATAACACGAACACAGATTTTCATGTTTTATTCTATGACATAAAAAAACATCAGTAACAATACCCTTGCAGTGTTGCCAAGTCCACGGTTTTCCTGCAGAATTGGGCTACTTTTATACTGTTGCTGCCGGTTGTTTTTTCAGTCTGTGGGTTGAAGCAAAACCCCCCCACCCGCTGGAACATTATTTCAACTAAGGTGGGACCCCCCCAGAAGGCGATTTTGATTAAATTTTGACAGTCATTTTCCCCCAGAAAACAACTGACCCTTCACAAAGTCCCGCCCCCCTTTGTTACTGTTGCTATGTCCGACAAGCCATGCGCTCTCAGGCCACACATCAGGTTCTCAAGCAGTTAAAAAAAAACATCATTGAGCAAAGAGAAAACTGACAACGTGCCGACAGACAGGACAGAGCAGGTTACTTTTGGTATAAAACAAAGTCTCAGCTTTCAAATGTTGTCATTTTTTAAGAAATTCAAACAATAAATACCGTTTTGTGGTTACAGATCGCTGTAGCACCTCAGTTTAAGTGGCACATAAACCGATCATCTCTTCCTCATTACTAGTTATAGCATAAGATAAACATGAGTGAACATCTTCTTTCAACCGCAGAAAGACGTCAATACACATCGTTTTCAAGTTCAAGTACACCAACGTTAATCTACTCTCCGGTCTGGTTTGTTTGTTGGACAAAAATGGCAGATTCGGTGTTATGATTGGTCAGATCACCTGTCAATCAAACTCCCAGCGAAGGGGCAATTGGGATCATTTTGGCAGTGATTGGGCTAGTTTTGAATACCAATTGGGCTGGTTTTGTTATGCAGACTTGTCAACCCTGACCCCTTGTTATATATATTTTAAAGCTTTTACTTTCAAGAAAAAAGGCAGTTGCTAACAAGTGGCTAAATGGGACAACAGAGGTTGTCAGGGACATTAAATACAGTATCATAAGACCTAATAAGTAAACTCATCTACTCACTTGTCCACTCATTTTGTTTAGAAGAGTACTCTTGCAAACTGCTCTAACTCAAAATTTAAGGGAAACTTTTAAATAAAAACTAATTAAAGAGTTGTCAGAAGCTTAATGGTGATGACGTTAAAGTGATGAGTAGTTAGTCTGCTTACTTTTATCTTTTTACTATTGGCTATTGTATTTAGACACCAAAAGTTGTATTAAATGATAGCAAAACGTGTAAGAGTCAAACTTTTGTTAGTCACAGAGCTTATTTTCTTTATAAATTCAAAAGCTAATGGAAAAATCCTATTGGGTTTTGGCGAGGGAACCAGGGTGATGCTAACTTCTGCGTTGGCCTACAAAAATACAACATTCCTGCAGATGTGGAGCGGGGTGGAAATGGCAGTAGGTGTTTAGAAACCTGTTTGGAAACAATCAGTAGTGATTTTTGCATCAAGCAACACTATTATTACTGTACTCAGGTCTTTACAACCTCTCAAATCTTCTGCTTTCAACACTCCTGAACATCTCTTGAAGTCGCACCAACACTGAGGGCATGGCAGGCTGACCTTGTTATCTGCCCAGCAGAAATGCACTTAGCAGGTGGTTGGCATCAAAGCTGCCATCCAGTTTGCTGGTGGTAATTAAACATGCTCTGAGTCTCACCTGCACATACAGGCTTTCATCCATCCAGACTGAATACATCATGCTACAACAGCTCCCGGAAATGATGCGTCTCACAGAAGAAATGAACTGGGAAATTCTAATTATTCTACAATATTCCAAAACAAAGTGAAGGTCTGTTCCTTACATACATAAAGCTGGTTATATAACACAAATATAACAAATTGCACTGTATGAACTACTGAAATGCTTTTTTTGGAAGCTGACAGCCCCTGGACAGCATTCATTCACTTTGATTCTATGGAAAGAGCATCTCTTCAGAAGAAAGTGAGCCTCACAATAAATAATGATGACAGAATTTTTCCTGTAATACCCAAACAAAAGAGCCTACAATATATTCAAAACCAATAATTGTTATGAAACTTGAAAAGTTGTGTATGAGCTGCCCAATCAAGTGAAAAGTCACATCTTTCAAGTGGTTTTTGATAAGATCACAGTGAGAAATTGCACTCCGAACGGCTCTGAGACGTACCGCAGATGGATGTGAGAGTTATTGTGATGAATGTTTGGTCAGTCAGCGATAGACAAACGAAAAGATGTGTGCGGTGAAAAATTGATAAAGTGCTGAGTGAGCTGTCATTGGTGTCAAATGGCAGGGGACCTTTCTGGGTGAATCTCATGAAGCCTGTCAAGAATATGTCCAGGTCATGTCTCACCCCAAAATCAAAAGGGGAAAAGAAAAAACAAAAATTATAAGTATATTTTAATATTTTAATTATAAAATATAAATCTATCTATCTATCTATCTATCTATCTATCTATCTATCCATCCATCCATCCATCCATCCATCTAGCGGTTATCAGACGGCATAACCGGAGAGGCCGTCCTGGGCCGCTGAATATTTTGTAGATGTTTGATAAAAGTGAGGAAGTCCATGATGAGGGGAGCGTTATCATTCACCAGCTAAAACACCGCCTGCAGGTGGAACATGAATATTTAATGCGCTTCTATATTTAGAGCCCAGCAGCTCGTAATAGACTAGATGCATATTCATAGGTTTTATTTTCTCTCAAATTAAAAAGGACCTGTTAAACAAAGTGTTAATTATGCAGCGACAGACTCAAAAATAGACAGATCTCTAAGAGGAAAAGAACATACTGTATGTAGCTCAGTCCTCTACGGGTATGTCACATTGTCGAAAAGTACCTCTATTATTAGCTGAAATATTGTGAAATTAAGGTCCAATAAGATTTTATAATTCAAGCTGCTGTTTACATTAAGAGATCCATAAATATCAAGCTGTAATTAAAAAAGGTGATAGTGAATCATTATGTTCTTATTTCTAGACTTGTTCTTTTGATGACAAACAGTTTTCCGAATAACAATATGCAGCTTTTTTCCATTCCCTGAATCTCAATAACACAATAAACGCTTAATGCTAATCAATGTAGCCATGCTTACCCATGTCTGCTGTGTATTGTTTGGTCCAAATGGATAAAACGGATGTTCAATAACTGAATTCAAAACTCACGGACAGCTCCACACTGTTTCATAAGCGTAAAGGGTGACCTTTCAGAGTTGGGGATCAAATGCTCCTTCTGCTGTCAAGATTGTGCTTCAGTTAAGATTTTGCAGGAAAAAAAAACAAAGAAGATTAATCCTAAGATCGATCCAAGTTGTCAAAAATAATATGCAACAAAATAAAAGCAATTGCTCATGCAGGAAGCTGATATAGAGCGATCGGAGAGGCACGTAATCATGTTTTTGCCACCGAGCATCACTAACACAGGTCTCATTACCGATGCATGTGAGCACGCAGCTCCACCGGGGCTGAGTCTGACTCATTACCCATGCACAACGCTCACTAACTCTCTTCAAAGGATGCTGATGAAGACAGAAACACTAACTTTAACATCAGGATGTATTAAGTCAATGATGTGCATCAGATATTATGTTTGCAAAATCAATCACATTATATGAGTCAAAATCTGATAAGGGGTAATTATGAAACAAATGATTTAAAAAGTGATTTTTTTCACTATTATTCACAATAGGATCTGTACTTTCATGGGTTAAAATAAAAGATTTGTGTTCTTAGAGACAACAGACAAACTTTGTGCATCAAAACCACTCCTTTTCTGGTTAAAAAAAAGTCAATGAATTTGCAACAGCTGAACGTTTTTGACAAGCCAAACATGTCAGTTTCTGTGATATTTAATTTATTTAAGCCACAAAATAAACATTCTGTAAAATAAGTACAATGAACTACGCAAAAAGCATTTCAAACATCTCAAGCACATTTTATAATACCCAAAAATCAAACGTGTCATCACCATGTCCGTCAAAAACTTAGGCTGGCTGCCGGTTGAAATATTACAACTAAAAACATTTACATAACACCCATAGGCATAAATCACTTCACTGTATACTTGTTGGCTAAGAAATAAATGATTATTACCTTACGATCTATCTGTTTTCAAATCCACATCATTTGTCTATCTATCTTGCGCATCGATGTCTGTCAAAAATAACACGCACAATACATGGCAGAGGTCCAGGGTGTTCACGCATTTCCTGAAAAAAAAAACAGACTACTGGACGTTTTGACTACGCCATCGCCTTCTGAGAAGAAAAAAATGGCGGCCTGAGTAGCTTAAACATGCAGTCTGTCAGAGAATGTAACGTACCTAATGCATACATAACGCATGCGAGTATGAAATCACTGAAATTGACAAGTGATTTTTATCAAATGTAGTTCGATCACTGTCTTCTTAGTTATTTGAAAGATCAAAGTTTGATCAAATGTAGTTTAATTTTCCAATAAAATATTTTTTTGAATGATTTGTTACATTTAAATACCCATTTGCAGATTTTGTGCCATATGAACTAAATCTTTGGCAGTGTATTTATTTATTAAGATTTCTCTTATTTTTAAACTTAAAAACTATGCTGTGGGTGTGGCTTGGTGGGTGATGTGTACGCTTAGGTCATTTCCTGAGCACATCCCACCTGTTCTCCCTACCATTTCCTGTCACCTTTCTACTATAAATGAAGTAAAATAAAACCTAATCACATATGGGAGACCAGGACTACTTGTCAAGCTTTATAGTCCAGCGAATATTTCTGAGGGAAGGTTTATTTTTCACCATAAAACCCCACAGATGTAGTCACAAAAGTAGTTCATATGGTTAATGACTTGCATGCGTGTTATTCCGAGAATTCTAAATCCATTTTGACAGCTTTTGCCAGAGGAATAATCTAAAATGTAAGTTTATTGACTGAAAACCCTTCATTGCAACATTACACATATAATACCGTTTGAGGATGGTACCATTTTTTAATGTTTTTGAAACTTTATTTGACCAAAAATGCTGTAAAAACAGTCATATTGTTAAATATTATTACTTCAAGACAGGCCATGTAGATTACACTTCTATAGTGTTTTACGGTGTTTGTTAGTTTGCTGCTTGGTTTTGACCTTTGAGAGCCTGATAATCATGGTGACAATAACGGTCACTGTAGACAGAAAAGAAATGTGTGATGGAAAAGATTTCCTGTTTGTGTTCCACTGAAAAAGATTTGGAATGACATGAGAATGAGTAAATCATACAATAATTAAAATTTGGGGTTAACTATTCTTTTAAATCTTGCACAAATCATTAAAGAAACTAAACATAGATCCAGACAGCAGTCAGTAGCTACCACTAGCTTCAGTGTCAGTGAAAAGTGTAAAAGGCTTTTTTTCTATCATCATTTTCTTCTCTTCCCCAAACACTGACAGTCGTGGTGAAAGAGATCCTGTTCGAGACAGCATCAATATTTACAGCTCCCGGTGTCTCGTGCAGTGATGGGAGCTGTCGGACATCACACACTGGAACATGATAGCACAGCTGAGTCCAGCTCTGGCGACAAACATGAGGCAATGTCTGCGTGTTCACTAAGACCGACTGTATATCCATCCAAAATCATCATGATGATGAGGGGAAACGATAGATAGCTGAGGTTTACCTTCACTGCCACTTACAACAAAGTTTAACATCGGTTTAAATTTTACAGACTGCTTAAAATGATATACAATCCCATGTAATCAGTGTTATTTCAGTAGCACTTATTTACTAAAATGTATTAATATTTTGAATTAGCTGTTATTTTTAGATTTTCAGTTTTCATTTTTTTTATTGAAACAATTTAAATTTGATTAAATTCATTATATTTTTGTCATTTTTTAATATTTCTATTTAGCTTTAATTTATTTTTATATCAATTTTTATCATTTCTGTACTTCAAATTAAACTCTAAAAAAATATATTTTATTTCAGATAGTTGCCAAGTCAACATATTTGTTTTATTCCAGCTTTATTTAAATTAATGAAAACAGTTTTAATGGTTTCAGTTTTGTGACAAGGCCATCAATAAATAAATGTTTATTATAAATATAAAATATCCAACATTTTGGAAATGTATGATATTTTATATATGTATAAAAATATCAAAAGCTGTCAAATCGACCAGCAACACAATACTACATTTGCACCAGCTGATAAGAATGAAACAAGCACAAACAGCCTTCAGTTTTTCTTTGACCATCAACAACAACTTCTAGCTTTAGATAAAAGATATTTCTATGTCAAACGGTCTCCAGGGTTCAGAGAGGTTAGAATCACAAGTACTGTCTCCATTCAAACCCTTAATGGCGTAAACCACAGAGGGGAGAAACTAAATCCAGTCATCAAGAACTAACCAGCAATTCAATCCTCTGCCGGGCAACCAGATAAAAGCTTGGCACAGCCTTGCTACTGCTGAGATACCGGAAAACGTAAGGAAACAGAACTACAGACTAGAAAACCAAGATACCAAAAATCAAACAAACATCTAACACTCAGGAACTTTGCTGCCGTACCAGGGGTGCAGCAGGCGCAATGATATTACGCAGTGCCTGAAAATAGGCTAACTTCCGTCAACATAACCAACGTGACCACCTGCTTGCACAGGGAGCGTGCCTTCCATTGGAAGTTACCTAGCTGGGGACTATTTTCAGGCGCTGCATAATATTTATTTTCAAAAATAGTGGAGTGTTCCTTTAAGGAAAATTGTATTTTATATTTTTTGAATTTTATATTTATACATATATAAAATTATGTTTTCCATATTTTAATATTATTCATCTGAATGCATTGTGGTAATGAGTAGCTTTTAGGGGTGTAACGGTTCACAAAATTCACAGTTCTGTTCGATGCGACACAGTGGTGTCACGATTCGGTACGATACGGGTCTGGGGGGGGGGGGGGGTAATAGCTTAAATCGCAATGTTGGAAATACTTCTGTTTAAAACCATGAAGGCGAGCCAATGGATATCACACAAGCAACATGCAAACTTTGCGCAAGAGTTATGCCTGTGAACATTTTAATCAGACAATTCACTATGCAGAAATGAAAGAGACGACGGGAGACGAATCTTCTTCAACATATGCTGATAACGGTATATAGCTGTTTTCATTTATTCCCTTAATATTTCTCTTGTGACCCGTACAAAGTCGCAAGAGTTATGCCGGTGAACATTTTAATCTCAGACAATTCACTATGTAGAAATGAAAGAGACGACGAGAGACGAATCAACATATGCTGATAACTGTATATAGCTAATTGTTTTCATTTATTCCCTTAATATTTCTCTTGTGGCCCGTACATAGTGAAAAAAAATGAGAAGAAACGTATTTTGTGTTAAATAGCTTGTTTTTGAAAGTCGTGCTTAAAATAAAGTTTTTTATTTCATTGATTTTTATTGATGACTGCAGTGTTAATATTTTAATTATAGACATATAATTCATTGTATAATAAACCTGTTTTAAAAGACCTTTTGTTTTTCAAAAAAAATTTTTTAATTGAGTCAATAGCCTTATATTTTGTCATCCTCGCAGTGGGATTTTTATTTTTAATAATAAAAATAAGAATGTAACAGGCCTACATTAATTGAAAAAATGCAAAATCCTCTTAATATTGCCAATAATTGATGTTTTTGACAATATCTTTATGAAAAATATAATTGTATTTTTTTATTTTTAGGTTTATAGATATGGACACATTATGTTAATAAATAGCCTTAAATTTCCTTATGGAAAATAATTTTATAATTTTTCTTATATATACACATCAGGACACATTATAGCAATGAATAGCCTTCATATAGAAAATGGAATTGAATATTTATACATTTGAACATGTTAAAGTAATGTATTATGTAATAAAATATTTTTTATTTTAAAATAATGTTTATGTATCTGGACACAACATGGCAATGAATAGCCCTTATTTTCTTCATGCAAAATATTATTTTCGGTTTTTTTTTTTTCCCAAGTTGATTTTGGTGCAAAATGTGACCTATGTTTTCATGAGATTCTCCCATATACTGCCATATTTCTGAGCTTTATCAAGTCTAGTTAGACTCGCAGGTTTGTGTAAGTGAGGTCTGTGGGGATCACCATAACTCAGAAGCGGGGCTGGTGTGTGACAGGTAACACTCCAGGTGAACCTGCTGCATCACCATCTGTGCTCAAGGGAACACGAGAACATTTCTATTGTCCTTCTGCACAAAGAGCCGTGCCGCCTGCCAGCCTGGAGCCGGACGCAACACTTTTACTACACTACTCATGCAGCCAAAACAACATGCACAATAAAGAGGCTGCTGTTTAATTGCTCAGGGAGTTCGCATTTAACTATCAACTTTGTCCTTAATTAAAAAAAAAAACGAAATTCTGAACCTATAAAGGGGGCATATAGGCGATTACTAAGGTCTTTTTCCTCATAAGAGACATCTGAAGAGCAGGAGATTTAAGCCAAATCTCAATTTGATGCTGTTGGAATGTCATTGTTGGAATCAATTATAAAAAATAATAATAATTAAGACCTTTTAGAGATCTAATTTGTCTTATCAAATTGCAATAATATGATGTTCTTTTTGTCACTATTGTTCAAACTGTCACTATTCAATCACAACCACAACAAAAATGAAAGAATTCACAAAGCTATTTCTTGTTTATTATAAAGCTATTATTGTGGTTTTCCCACTTTAAAATAATATGAAAAGGTGCTGATGTTGAAATGAGGGGTGATGCAATGTCATCGAGTTGATTATAGCAATATCACAATCATTTCTCATTTAGTACAGGTTCTGTAAGCGATTTCAGCCATTTTGATAACTCCAACCATTTTGCCATAATTGTAGAAACTGTTAATAAAATTTATAGGCCTATTTTAAAAAACGTAAAAAGTGAATTGATAAATGCAAGTAACAATAATAGAACATAAATCTAGAATCTAATTATATAGATACATGTTACATTCATTAATCTTAATATAATATTTTAAAAATATATGCACATTTTCATGTAAAATAAAAATTTTACATTTTTTCTTTTTTATTGATTTTTAATTAATAAAAGTGCATGAATAACCTTATAATTTGTTTTTAAAAATGCATACAAATATATATATATATATATATATACACACAAAAATACAACTATATTCATAATACAAAATGTACAATGAAAATGCATTTACTTTTATAGTAAAATACACTGTATTAAAATTGTAAAAATTAAGTAAAAGAGATATAAATTGATGCCAAAATGTCATCCTGTTATCCTTGAAAATTTGACATGGTCATCATTTTGTATTTGTTTTTACAGTGTAACTTAAACCACTCACACTTTTTTCCAAAAACCCATCCTTCAAAGGTTTGTAGAGCAACCGGACAGAGATTGTTTCTGACTGCCTTAAAAAGGAGTCTTAAATGTCCTTACTACCTGTGAGATATTCCTGAGGCTCATTTTATGCGTGCTTCTCCAAAAAATCAATAAAATAATCGCTTACAGCACCTTTAATGGAGGTGTGCAATCATCTAAGCTAAATATCAAAGCATAGACAAGAAAAGGGGTGCTGACCACTTTATCCTCCTGTTGCAATTCCACAGGGGAAGAAAAGCAAGAGAGAAAGACAAGGGAAAAAAGAAGAGGAGAGAACAAGTGTGAGTGACATTCAGACACACATAAAGAGATGTTCATGTACTACTGCAGCCAATCACATCGCCGCTTATTACTCTGAGCAAAGTCATTTAAAAGCACTAAGACTGTACTGGGAGAGAGACATCAAAAGGTTAGATAAGCAGTTTCTGGCCTGATACATCCATCGCCCCAGGCCAACAGGCGAGGTGATAAAAACAGAGGGAGTATCGCCCTCTTGTGGTCATCGCATTACCTGCTCAACCCTCAGCGACCAGCAGCAGGAAATAACAAAGACGACCAAACGTGTTACAATGAGTTGAATGACTTCTGTATGCAAATTCACAATAAAAAGGACCTGCATTAATAAGTTCAACTACTTAAAAATTAAAATATGGCTTTTAGCATCTATTAATAACATCTCACTATCACATTTTAAAGGGGTCATATGATGCTGCTAAAATAAAAACATAATTTTGTGTATTTGGTGTAATGAAACGTGTTTATGCGGTTTAAGGTTCAAAAAACACATTATTTTCCACATACTGTACATTATTGTTTCTCCTCTATGCCCCACCTTTCTGAAACGCGTCGATTTTTACAAAGCTCATCGGTCTGAAAAGCGAGGTGTGCTCTGATTGGCCAGCTATCCAGTGCGTTGTGATTGGCCAATTACCTCAAGCGTGTCACGGAAATGTTACACCCCTTACCATATTGTGATGCCCTGTCCGGCCGGAGCAATGAGACAAAAACATTAAAACCCATTATAAACGAGGCATTTGTTGCATCCAGTGGGGACATAATTACGGATTATAATGACTTATACTGTCTTTTTACGCGTTGCGTTGCAGCAACAACAATACTACAGCGAGAATAAAAGTTACGCCTTCTTTCTTTGCGTGAACATTTGGGCGGCCTTATGCAAATCGTCCCACATCGTGACGTAGACATGTGGGGGCGTGTTAGAACGAGCCGTTTTAGGTAGGTGTGGTTGACTCTTAACTTTTATTAAGAATATATCTTTCGATTTGAGACTTTCGTCTTTGCAACTTTACAGATCTTCTTTATGCACCAAGAGCTTGTAACACTCCAAAGAGAAAGGAAAAATTGAAATCGCATCATATGACCCCTTTAAATATCAAATATGCTCAGAATGGCATACTATGCACCCTATTTTTGCAGTATGCTATATGCAAACTAAGCAGAGTATGTACATTTTTTTGGTGCAGTATAAAACCAAAGCACAGTACATGAATACTGTATCCAACAATGCAATGCATACCACTTGATGTTAGAAATATCATTTTAGCTTATTGTTTGATTGGATTGCCAAAGGTTAAGACATTTTACTCAATACTGGACTAACCCTATAAACCCTATACTGTATCATATTTGATTCACAATGCTTTAAATCCTCTAAACTACCAACATGATCAAAACGTTGCTGAGAATTGTTGCACACAATCTACTACATGTCTTCTGTCATCTGATTGGTCGTTTATACTTTTTTAGCACATTAAAAAGCATTAAAGTATAATTCTAAAAACATTCACCTTCAGCTGGCTCACATGTCAATTTGCTGTGAAATCTTGATTTTATGAAATAAATCTAAGAATAACTTGCTAGTAATATTTCAAGATGAACACTAGACTGAAGCAAGGTTTACATAATTATCAATATTTGTGACCCTGGAGCACAAAACCAGTCTTAAATTGCACGGGTATGTTTGTAGCAATAGCCAAAAATACATTGTACGGGTCAAAATGATCGATTTTTCTTTTATGCCAAAAATTATTAGGACATTAAGTAAAGATCATGTTCCATGAACATATTTAGTAAGTTTCCTACCATAGATATATCAAAACTTCATTTTTGATTAGTAATATGCATTGCTAAGGACTTCATTTGGACAACTTTAAAGGCGATTTTCTCAATATTTTGATTTTTTTGCACCCTCAGATTCCAGATTTTCAAATAGTTGTATCTCGGCCAAATATTGTTTGATCCTAATAAACCATACATCAATGGAAAGCTTATTTATTCAGCTTTCAGGTGATGTATAAATCTATTTTTTTTTTATTCACACTTAAGACTGGTTTTGTGGTCCAGGGTCACATTTTATAAACAAAAAAAAATCATGTTGAAATGCATCAAATATGATACATCAGGCTTTTGAGAAACATTTATTTACAATCATTTCTTTTTTTAATCATCATTGTATTGCACTGTATTATATGTTTTACCCCACTACAACTACAAAGCTTTGATCATAAAACTAAGCATTTATATATCTTACGATCTATAAATGTATATATCTACTTATATATCTTTGTCTAAATGTTCCATTTCAAAAGATTTTTCTGATTATTATTTCAAATGTTAGGCTTTAGAGGTTTAAAAGTGCAAAATAACCATATTTATTTCAAAGATGCTAAAAAGACACTACTAGTCATGCGACAACAGCGTGGTGTACTTACTACCTTTTGCAATATTTCTCACTTTGTAAGTTATTTAAAAAATAGTAGGCAGCATGCAATGCTTTTTCATTCTGAACACAGCCATCATTACAGGAATGACAAGTGTTGATGTCCAGCTGAAGTCAGTGCTTGCGTATGAACGTCTGTGTGATCTGAGGAGCGTTATGGCTGTACCTTGTTAGAGCGCAGTGAAACTCTTCCTCCACAGCGAGCGCAGAACTTGGTTTGGCAATAAGAACAGAGGTGGCCGCAGCCGTCAGCAAACTTGGTTTTATGGCAGATTCCGCAGGTGGGGGCGTCACTCTTCTGCTCCTGGGTGCTCGGTGCCTCGTCCCCCATCTTCTTCACCTGCTCCTTATACATTTCAAATTGCTGGTGCAATTTCCTGCAGGGAACAGAACACAGCCATTCAGAGCACAGCAAGAAAACGTGTTATTAGTTTAAATATTACTAAGCTAATAATACACTTCAGAAATGGGACGCTTGGGTATTGTCATGGGTTATAACCAAAAGGATAATTTTACTGCTCAGAGGCTGCTCATTAGACTTGATTGACTTGTGTTTCATTCAAATATTAACTTTTTCTCAGTTAATTACGCTAAAAACCTTTTAAAAATAAAATACAAAACAATTGCTTATATAGTAATAGTATACAGCTAAAAAATGAATATGAAGACTAACAAAGTCCCCATTTGCTCTCCATGTCATCATCTTGTGATCTCAAACATTTTTTGAAAGAAATTCATTTTTAATCAGTAAGAATGCATTAAATTGATCAAAAGAGATAGTTGTTTCAAATGTTACAAAAGATTTCTCTTTTAAACAAATGCCGTTCTTTTGAACGTTCTATTCAAAGAATTCTGAAAAAGTGTACCACAGTTTCCTCAAAAACAATAAAAACGGTTTTCAACACTGATAATAAATGTTTCTTAACCACCAAATCAGCATATTAGAATGAGTTCTAAAAGTGACAGTGAAGACTGGATTAATTACACTGAAAATTCTGCTAAATAAACTACATTTTAAAATATATTAAACTAGAAAACAGTTATTTTAAATTGTAATATTATTTTACAACATTAATGTTTTTACTGTATTTTTGATCAATAAATGCAGCTTTGGTGATATACAGTATATATATATATATATTTTTTTTTTTTTTACTCGTACACAATTAAAAAAAAAACTATATACAATATCATAAAATGTTTTTGAATAAATCCTCAAAACATATTGTTCTAAAAAGGAAACCCACATTCACAATGAAATATGCACAGAATCAAAATAATGGCTTATGACTATGTTTTGCTGGTTGTCAATAAGCACTAGCTCTGATTAGACTCTGTTGCGACTGCAGGTGTCAGACTGACACTCGACAGAAATAAGAACGGTCTGTTCTTCAACCCACTTCACGTGCAGCCTTGAGACTATTTGTGGCTGAATTCATGTAAAGATAACACGTCAAGCTCACGTGCATCACCTCATATATATAGACTGTAAATCTGACACAGATGTAGACATGACAGAGCTGCCCACAGTTCCAACTACAAAACCTGATTATTTATCAATGCATTCAAAATCAAATAAATATCAACTTGATCTTGAGCAGGCTGATCACCTTGAGCGTGTTTATATAAGGGTGGTGTTTAATCATGCACCCTCTCATTACCGTAAGAGAGCAGAGGGGGTCAAAGGCTTGAGACAGACCCTGAAACGCTAGCTGAAGGCACGCATGACGCACATGCATTTTGTATGTCCCCTGCCAATCAACCGTAGCCGTGGAAACCGAACACTGGGGGCTAACGCCATAAGCTGTCGATTAGAGGAGGTTTGGTCTCACATCTGCCCCTGCAACATTCATTAGCAGGCTGAATTATTGAACATGCTGATCTATTTACTACAGCAGAACGCCTGGGTGTTACCCAGAATTCACCTGGCCACCTCCCACCAAACGCAAACTTGAGCACATTCTCACGCTAATCACTAACTCTGACAGGAGAGTTTGGATGCTTAATGCAAAGGAGTTTGTTTCATGTAAATTTAATGAACACAAATGTCATTGAACTTGTATTAGTCTTCTTTGACCAACTGATAAAAAAAAAAAATAGCAAACCATGTTTGATTCACATATATAGTCTGTAATACCTGGAGAAAGCTATACATTAGCAATCCCATTCATTGCACTAGCATATTTAGTCCATTTCACACTTGTAAAAGTCCCACTGGTGAAATACCTACAATATTGTAGTACAGTATTGGATATACATGTTGGTTTTATCAGAATACACTGACAATATTTTTGACCAGTGTTAATATCAACTAAAACTATTAAAAACATGTTTTGTTAAGTGAAATAAAATCAAATAAAATATAAATTAGATGAAAGACAAATGAAAATGATAAATGTTGCTGAAATAATGGAAATAAGTTGAGGCACTTAAATTAACTGTAAATAAATATAAAGTAAAAACTGAATTACAATTCATGTGAAATAAAAATACATTTTTATATTAAGGTAAAAAAAAATAAAACCTAAAGAGTAATTATTATTATTTTATTTTAAATGGGTTGAATGCTACAAATGAATGACAAAAGACCATACAAATAAATGGGTAAAATTATAGTCAATGTGAAATTGAAGTGACATTTAACTGAATGTGAAATTAGAAGTAAAATTAAAGGTTTAAGTTAAAAATAAAAGATAAAATAAAAGCATATTATATATAAGCATATTAGTCAAGTTTTTGAACAGTAAGATTTTTAATGTTTGTTAAAGAATTCTCTTCTGCTCACCAAGCCTGCGTTTATTTGATCCAAAATACAGTAAAATCAGTAATATTGTGAAATATTTTGACTATTTAAAATATCTACTTTCTATTTGAATATATTTAAAAATGTAATTTATTTCTGTGATCAAAGCTGAATTTTCAGCATCATTACTCCAGTCTTCAGTGTCACATGATCCTTCAGAAATCATTCTAATATGCTGATTTGCTGTTCAAAAAACATTTATTATTATTATTATTATTATTATTATCAATATTTAAACCCGTTGAGTACATTTTTGCACTATACCATTCAAAAGCTTGGAGTTAATATTTTTTTATTTTGGAAAGAAATTAATACTTTCATTTAACAAGGATGCTTTAAATTGATCAAATGTGATGATAAAGGCATTTATAATGTTACAAAAGATTTCTATTTCAGATAAATGCTGTTCTTCTGAACTTTCTATTCATCAAAGTAACCTGAAAAATTCTACTCAGCTGTTTTCAACATGATAATTTTTTTTTTTTTTTTTTTGCCGAAAATAAAAAGCTTTTGTAACATTATACACTATACCATTCAAAAGCTTGGAGTTAATCTTTTTTTATTTTGGAAAGAAATGAATACTTTCATTTAACAAGGATGCTTTAAATTGATCAAATGTGATGATAAAGGCATTTATAATGTTACAAAAGATTTCTATTTCAGATAAATGCTGTTCTTCTGAACTTTCTATTCATCAAAGTAACCTGAAAAATTCTACTCAGCTGTTTTCAACATGATAATTTTTTTTTTTTTTTTTGAGCAGCAAATCAGAATATTAGAATGATTTCCGAAGGATCATGTGACTGGAGTAATGATGCCAAAATTTCAGCTTTGAAATCACTGGAATAAATTACATTTTATAATATATTCAAATAGAAAACAGTTATTTTAAATAGTAAAAATATTTCATCATTTTTACAGTTTTTGCTGTACTTTGGATCAAATAAATGCAGGCTTGGTGAGCAGAAGAGACTTCTTTAAAAAAACACAAAAAATCTTACCGTTCAAAATCTTTTGACTGGTAGTGTAATATATATATATATATATTATTTTTTTTCCCCACTGGCCATCAATAGAAAAGTTGCCGTCTCACCAGCAGGTACTAACTTTGAAGCTAACCGGCCAAACCTGTCAACCTGGACCCCATCAGACAAGTCAGTGACCTTTCACCCCTCTAGGATCAAATCACACCGATGAGCAGGTCTGCTTTCACCAACCCCTCTGCCCTCTTACCCTCCGAACATGTGGATACACAGTACCACTCACTGTCTGACCCTCGCTCCCCTCTCAGATACACAGCAGATAGCCTTCAGCTAATGCAATATTAGATTTTAGTCTGTGTCACGAGACAGCCGCCTGCCAGAAAAAAGATCAGATCATATGTGTTTGGAACGGAGTAAACGATGACACATTTTAGATTAAACCCAGCATCTATCCTCCCATATTCACCCGGGCTCCAGACAGCAGTCAGGTGGATGATGGGAAGGCTGGAGGAGCTCCAGAGGTCTGGCAGGTACGCTGGCTCAGGTAGCATTACAGACAGCTGGAGACCACAGCACCGCTCACCTCCAGAGACGCATAACCCATAATATAATCATTCGCCATTCTTCACGTCTCGTCTGACACACAGCAGATAGAGAAGTCAAAGAAACACGAGCCAGTACACTGATACGCACTCCCTTTATGAGTGACACCGCGGCCACCTGAAGACCTGCGCTTTACCCGTTTTAGCTTCTTACAAATTTGTAGTCGACTTCTCGTGTAACACAAAACCCATGCTTAATGCTGCTCTCTAATGCAGATCTCGTAATCAAATCGAACTGATGGGCCATAATGAGCGAAACATGCCTGTAGCACCTAATATTTATTATAATAAATAGGGCCTGTTAATTTATTACATTAATTTAGAATAATTAATTACATTTCACAGAATAAAATATAACATCATAAAAATAACAACTACATTTCTCATGCCCACTGACCCATATTGAAACTCATTTTTACGATCTGAGCAACTTAAACTATTCAATATTTTTATTTTCCACTATAACGTAATGCCATTCATTTGTCTTCATTTGAGGACTCCAGGCAAACTGGCAAGTTTTCAAAAAAGATTAAATGTGTTAATGCATAACATATAATGAATGAAACAAACAAATAATATTATATTGATTTCTACATACAATAATACTTGCATTATTTTTATAAATAAACACTTATTATTATGAATGAACATGGAAATATTATTTCATATTGTGTACACATTTTATATTTTATTAATAATTTTATAATTTATTATTAAAATAAGTGGCCGTTTATAAAAATATAAAAATAAAATAAGGCAATATAAAAATATTTACATACAAAAACTTTTTACATTTAATATAAAATAGTGAATGAGCATGAATTAGCAATTAACACTAAACTGTCTTAACAATAAACTAAATCTATCTATCTATCTATCTATCTATCTATCTATCTAATTAATTCAAATTAATGATTAACAAATGCTGTAAAAGACATTGTTATTTTAGAATGTCTAATGCTAACAAATTCAATCTTATTGTAAAGTGT